GTGTGTGTGTGTGTAAAAAATACAAATCAGCATGAAAATTCATTTAAATTTAATACTAAAGTGATTATTAAAGTAATAAATATTATTAAGCTTGTGACCCAGCACTGATTAGTGTGACCTCATACTGACACACCCTAAAGTACACTTCTACATCACCGTAGCACGGTAAAAAGCCACCAGTGGTGAGACAAACCAGATTTTTAGCCGGCATTGCTCTTCAATGATTCACTTTAAGGGAAGTTTGTCAAAGTCAAAGTTTAAATTTAAAGGTGAAAATTGTCAACATAACAGCATGGACTATTAAGGACGTGCGTAAGGGACCAAGTGTATCCACAATAGAAGAGATGAATGAGACAGCTGGAGGACATAAAGGCGAATATTGTGCTTATCAGCAAAGCTGTGGATCAAATGTTCTGTTTTGTGTCTGTTCATGTTTTAGTGTGTTATACAGCGCTAAAGGGCAGCTGATTAAACCAAATGGATTACATAAACACAACAAACCTATGATTTGAAACTAAAGCTGCACAAACACACACACAGCGGTACCTATCTTTTATGCTCAAGGTTCTTTCTCCTCAGACCCAGAGCCAAGGACTTTAAAAGCTATTTCCAGCTGCCTTCTCAGTCAATTTCCTGTGACGGGGGTAATTTTATCTCCGAAAAAGGATGGGTGTTCCCACAATAACCTCCACGGCTCTTATCAGACACACCACCACTGCCACTGTAAAAAGGAAACTATTCCAATCATCTGATATTGGTTTTTTTTTCCCCCAGTGCAGAGTGGGGGTATCTCAAATTCCAGCAGATCAGGGCAAAGACTGATATGCATGAAATGGTCCCGAAAATATGACCAAAATAGTTTCAACTTGTCAGACTCTAAAATGAAAGAAAACATCATATCTGAGTTAAAAGGGGGGATGTAACATCTTAAGTATTTAAAGTTTTAACCATTTGTGTTACTTGACAAACTGAGGCTTTCGTGCCTCCTCCTTCAACAAGTTCTCCCAAACCTTGCTGTCTTTATGAATTAAAAATCAAATGTGTTGTTCTGCATAAATATTGCATGGCAGTTGAAGTTGTTTACTGTGGTAATTCGCTTAGCTCGAGACCTCCATTTATTTACTACCATGTTTTTGTCGCTACTTTAAAACTCTTAACAAAACTTAAAACCTTCAACTCGCTAGGAGAGAAATGAATTCTTTCAATTAAAACTGACATTTTGTTTTGGTCTGACGTTTTTAAAAGATTGCATTAACTGCTTATGTTTGCTTACCGTATGTTACATAATCATAATTGAAGACGAGATTACTGTTTCTGTCAAGATGTATTTGCTTATGGAGTGTGTGGGTTTTACTGCACGCCATTGCCGTATCTGTGCATGAACTGCCGCCACGCGCAGATTAAAGAAGCAAAAACAGTTTACTGAAATGAATAAAGGTTAAGTGAACTGACATGTACAGAACTCAGCTTTCTTATACTTTGAAACAAAATTTCGCTTGAGGCTGCGCTATATTTAAAGCCTCGCCGCTTCTGAAGACGCAGCAAAACAAGTCAGATAAGAAAAAAAATAAAGATATCCATTTTGTTTATGACTATTTTGCCTTTATCTTAACTCTTATATATTGTTTTCCTGTTTGGAATATCAATTGAACTGTCTTTAAAATCAATAGCTCCATGGTAATCTAAAAAACAAATCTGAGCAGCAGAGCAGTGATATTAAATCCATCTGCAAATATAAGGGAAATAAATCTGTTGGTGTTAGTAAGGTTAAAGTATCAGCCGATGACCTCTCTAATGCCTCCATCTAAGAGAGACAATTATCACAAGTTTGTTGATAATGACTTTACTCTGCAAAAATCCTTCCATTTAATAGTGGGGATGGACTCTATGGAGGTCAGCTCACGGCTAACAGGGTCTTAACTCCATTGTTAGTATCAAACTCACGCCATGTGCCAGCTGGCCGGCGTGAGGGTTTAACAGGTTGGTCAAATCCCCTCTAACTTGAAAAGGCACATTTATTTTCTGTGTGAGAAAGGAGGTGCCTGCCTGTGTCCATCTTTAGAGTAACGGTAGAGGGCAGATAGGAGGTCTCTAGTGTATGCGTGGGCAGACTCGCAGGCCTGGGTGTGCATGTGTTTGTTTGTTGTTGAAGACGGACAGAGCATGCTCAAAAGTTATAAAGCAGTCATATGTGCTTTGCTTTCCCATCTGCTCTCAATGTCTTTAGGTTCTTGTTTCAGAAAAAAACAATTTCTATATCAGTGTAATAAATTAAAGGTCCAGTCTGTAAAGTTTTGGAGGTTCTATTAGCTGAAAAGGAATATAATTGCAATTTGCAACTACACAGTTAGATGCCACTATCCTACACTGGCCCTTTAATATACAATATTTTATATTTAAATATATAATAGAGGGCCAAATGTTACTTCTACTCTGCTATGTTAGTTAGCTTTAGTAGTAATTTTGCTGGGTTTTCTCCATCATGATTGGATTTAGCTGCTCTTCTCCTCATTCAATTATGGGGATTATAAAATTGAATCAGTTCATTAATCAATTAATCAATGTGGCTATCACAAAACTAGCAGGGGCTTTCTTGCTTTCTTTCTTTAGCAGTTGAATTGGTAGTCTCTTAAAGAACATATAGATCCAACATTTTCAGATTTTGTTGTGTAAGGAACTTGTATTTTTTTTCTCTGCAGTTATTTATTTCCAAAGCTGTTAACCCTTAAGACACATTCTATATTCGGCAGCTCAGCCTGTAAAGGAGCCACTAGGGACGAGTGTGTACATTTACATTCAACATGGGGGGGAAATCACACGCTACTTCCACCTGAACACATGTACCCTCTCATGCAACCTTTGTCTGAGATGAATTCTGAAGTATTTCTTCAGGGGTGGTACAGTAATACACATGTATGGCCAACTGCACTTGTAGTACATCAGAGATTCCCAGTGTGTTACATGATGCTTGGTTTAAGAGGAATTATCGCTTACATGGGTAATATTTTGCAACTTGTGAGCATGTCAGAGCAAGGAGAAGTCTGCTATTGCTTTATTCTTTGTCTGATAATTAGCCTGTATGATAACTGCTGGGTGCGCTGACCTGTGATATGCTACGTTCTCTCCCCGGATGAATGGAGGGAGAAAGAGAAGCATGATAATTAGATGATGCGCTGACCTGTAGCTTGCCTGCTAATTATTCTTCTCGACTCAGATTTGCTGAAACACGCAAGAAAGTGCAGACACACACATCGGCTGTGTGACTAAGGGCATCGAGCCCATCATTGGAGGCAGAATGGCTTGAAAAATAAAGGGTGCCAAGCAGCAGAGGGCCCATGATAATAGAGGGGACAGTGCATTAGTGGCTTCATGCAGATTTAAGATGATCTCAGGAAAATAAGATGGTTTTTTTTCTTAAGGAAAAAAGAAAAACAGTGTAGACATTGAAAATAGAGGGTTCTAATCATTGATTTTGCTTATTGTTTGGTGCTTTTCTATTCTTTAGTTGGTTTTGGGTGTTAAAAAATGAGCATTGTACTGCTCAAAGACATATTGCGCTCTTTAAACGACTAAATGTTAGAGGGGAATTTTATTACTGCTGCTATTTCCTTATTGAGCACTAATGTTTCAGTAATCAAAGTACCTTTTCTTCTGTGGGTACTGCAACTTGGAATCAGTTGTTGTGATTCAGTTTCTTCCATTATATCACTAAAGGCATGCCTCCTCTCTGAGGACGTATTACAAACTACTTCACACTTGAACATGTGTTTCAGACTTCTGGTAAAAGGAAAAACCTGTTTCTCAAAGGAATCACGCCACAGAATTTGATTTAAAGACTCTTAGCAAGGCTGAACAAACACTTTACGAGTGAGCGTGCAGGAGGGTATTGGTGAAAATGTTCCCTGGGTAAATGACGCTTTGGAAAAGTTAGATGTATTTTCTCGCCCATTGTTCAGCGAGAAACTCTGTAACACGTTCAACTAATGTGTGGTATAATCAGTGTGTCTGAACCAGGTTTTTACCCAAATGCTGAAGTTTGACCCAGATAAAACTTGTGCGAGCCGACTCACAATGACTCCCTGGTAGATTTTGCATTGATTTTTAAATTCTTAAGGTTACTTTTAAAGGCACTGAATAGATTTGCTACAAAAATATCATCGATCAGTGGACCCTGTGTCAACTAATAGCATGTGTCCGCTTAGGTCTGCAGATGGGCCTGTGCTAGCTATTCATACATCTCAGCTGGTCAACAAGAGTGTCCAAACTTTAATTCAATGGAGGAATCGCTTGAAATGTCAAAAATAGTGATAAAATGCTCATTGCAGTTTCTCAGAGCCCATGGTGCTGTCCACAGGCAGCTTGTCTTGTCTGATTGAAGACCCAAAAAACCCAAAGAAATTCCATTCACAATGATATAAAACATAGAAAAGCAGCAAATCCCTCGTTTGAGAAGCTGAAATAATAGTTTTGAGTGTTTGACACACATTTAATTATCAAAATAGTTGCCAATTGGTTATCTGTCAAATGACTTATTGACTAATCGTTTCAAGCACTTTGTAGCTGTCACACACGAAGGTCAGTTTACAAGTTTTACTGGAGAGTACTACCCAAACTTAATGGAAGTGCAGTTAAGTAGCCCTTTAAGAAAGGCGCTATACTTTTTGAGAGCAGATTATTAGATTATTAAAAGAACAGTAACAGTCCCTTCTGGTGTAATACACACACACATACACTCAGGCTGCCTTTGTGGCCATTACCAACGTACTCTAATAGCCATGCTCAATTAAGCACACCTACACCCAGCAGGCAATTGGCGCTTGTTAACCTGCAACCTCACTGAAGACACCATGCTTCGTCACTAATGACACTCCACATATTCACTCTGTGTGGAACACCCTCCTGGCGCACTGGCATGGTGTAGTGATTATGCTAATTGCTTAATTATTCAGCAGAGATAATAAGTCAGCATGAGCTGATAAAATCTCACTTGATAATTGAGTTAGATACCTGGGTAAGGATAATAGGAGATTTCATACTGCAGAGCAGCATAAAAATCAAGTTTAAAATGTGTTATATGTGTGATATAAATCATATAGGGAATCTATAACCTTGATACGTAAGTTAATTAGAGCTCAGTTTCGAAAAAAATCTGACATATTTACAAAGGCAAAATCACTCATAAAAGGATTACTTATTCCTGTGCTTACCTTCAGTTTTTCATAGCGGTCGCTCAGTGCTGCCACCTGGTGGTCTCTGTGCCTTCCAACCAGTTTGCACAGCGAGCAGATCAGCTGATCATCAGTGACACAGTACATGTTCACCTTCTCCTCATCGTGCTCCAGGCACTGGAGCCCTCTCAGGTGGGAGTCCGGCATGGGCTCGATGAGCCGGTGGCCGGTGAACGGCTTCTTGTTTGGATGAGTCGCTCGGAGGCACTCCTCGCAATACGACACCTCGCACGTCACGCACGTTTTGACGGCATCCTGTGGCGGGTCCTGCTCGCAGAACTGGCACTGGACCGGTTCAGGAGGTGTTCCTGGGCTGGACATGGCGGCGCTGACAGGGACCAGCGCCAATCGGTTGCTCCCTTCCTCGCCGGGAGAGTTTGGCCCGCTGTGTGGCGCAGGCAATGGCAGTGGTAGAGGGAGCCCAGCTGAAGATGAGGCCCTCTGAACTCTATCAATAATGTTCTGCAAGGTGACGTTTCTCTTAAGTCCTTCTAATCCACGCTCCGGACTCAGGGAAATGACATATCTACAGGTGGGGCACTGGAAGGCGCCGATGCTTTGAACAGATTCGTTGGTGGCACAGTGGGAGATGAGGATGCGGTGGGCGCAGCCGAAACAGAGGCTATGGGCGCAGGGGAGCAGTAGTGGGTCTTCAAAGAGCTCCAGGCAGATTGGGCAGGTCAGCTCTGACTCCAGAGTGTCCATCCTGCTCAGAGGAGGCCAGGCGGGACCAGGCGCAACGTCAGCGAAATCCAGAAGAGCCGCTCAGCTGTCTGTACGCAGAGACCGAGAGATAGATAGAGGAAAGCACAAAGAGAGAGAAAAAAAGGAAAAAGAAAGCACAGGGATTTGTGATTAAATGGTGTGAAACAGCTTACTTCTTACTGCTTTCTTGGGAGGGCTTATATCTCAATGGAGCAGACCACTGAGTGGACTTAAAGAATGGCAGAGTGTTAAGTGCTGGATTTTCGAAGTCTGTGAAAACAAAATTAGGGGAAATTGATGTCTTCAAACACTAGACAGATCCTTTAAAAGGTTCAGTATGTTTTATCATCAGACATTTAGATTGTTAAAACCGACAAAAAAGGATGGAATAATTATGTATAGATTCCAAACACTTGAAAAGACAGACTGAGACACGCCAGAAAACAACCACCTAGGACTCGCACAATGCAAAGTACCAATCATCGATGGCAACACATCTACAATTCAAGATGTCATCCAGTGTATAGGGCCTCATTTTCTCAAACACAGACCAAGTTGCAAACTAATAACATATGTTATTATATATGCTGATGTAATCGCAAACAATCACATATATTAATATTTGCTTGGAAAAGCCCCCAAATGAAGATATTTTAACTACTTAAACATAAACATTACATTATTTTAGCACATGACACATTTCTAACACATAGAAATATCTAAAAGGGGGTATTAGAAATCAATAAATTGTTTCCAATAGATTTCCAAATCTTCAGTTGTCAAAATACTTTTTTCATTGAACATAACATCAATACATTAGGATTCAAATACATCTATTTTAAACCAAACTGGGGTGGCAGTTGGGGTTTCAGTATTAAACACACTGCACCAAATAAGATGCAGTGCAGAAAAAAAAGATTAGGACAAAAAGAAAATATGAGGAAGAAGAAAGATTTTGACAACCAAGAGAAAACGGAAGATAAGCTGCACTGACTCTGACTATGGCCAAACATACAGTTCCCCTACAATTATCACACTGCTTGTGTTTCAGTTACAGACATGCCGCTGACCTACTTTTGCCCTCTCATTATTCTTATTGTTGCTGACTCCGTGGTTGCAAGCAACAACACTTTAGGTTAGCTTGGATTAACAAGATTGCTGTTCCGTAGCAGACACTTTCAAACATTGTCATTTTGTTGAATGCACCATCGACTGAGTGAGGAAATATATGAGTAGTGAAATAAATGTTGACCAGTGGCTGCTGGGAGGGAACCATTTTGCAACCAGTGAGCAGTAGTGGCTGCTGCAGCCTTTTTCACAGCAGCCATTTTGACATGAAATAGTAGGTGTTTACCAATGATACTACTTAAGGTTGCATTTAATTCATTCAAACACAGTCAGGGTGCATGTTGGCTCGCTAGAAAGGCTCTGCTACACTAAATGGAATGGAACCTTGATTGATATCATTGGTAGCGCCTGTGTTTACCCTACTATTTCATGTCAATATGGCTGCTATGTGTGTCTATTGGCAGTTAGTACTTGTTCATTTACTCCCTACAGTAGAACCACCAGTTAAACTCCTGGTTAAAAGAAAAACAGAACAGTATTCAATGGAAATAGAACTTATTTCAAGCTCAAGAGTATAATCTTCTTCAAAATCATTTTAATATGTAGTTTTTAGCACTCAGCACTGGTGCAGCAGTGGGGTGTGGTTCTCATATTTGGTGCAGCAGTGGTAGCTGCAGGCACAGCTGTAGTCAATTGGTAATTAGTGCACTTAGTCCATTTATTCTCCTGCAGAGGAGTAAAGTCTTAATTTCAGTCTGTCACTGCATGTTCTCAGTGTGTCTCCTGGTCCAGCCTCTCATATGTAGAAGTGTTGGCCAGCACAAGACATTCATATTTAAAGTTATGTGAGGTAGTAGGAGAAAAAGAAATCAGACCATCTTTCTGTGTACGCAGCTGAAATGCTGAATATTGTTTGCATTAAAATGGGTGGAAGAAAATCAGCAACCCAGTGTTGTAATCATTTCTGGTAACTTGTTAGCACTTTCAAGCATTAAGTCTGGAAAGATTACGTCCATGCAGGATATATTGTGCTTTGCATGCACTACTCTCCGGCTACATTACGGGGGATTCTTCCCTTTTGGTTTCCTGATCATGTAGGTGTGGAAGGAAATGAGAAGGTAGACAGATGTATTGGCTAAACAATCCAAGCACAAATCCAAGTATTATTAAATAAAGCAGAAGTTAAAACTATCATAAAGGATTATATGCACAAAACCTGGCAGGGATACTGGGACTTAAGTGAGACAGGAAGTCATCTTTACAGTATTCAAAAACATGTAGGCAGTGGAATAGAGAGCAGGAGCCCAATAGGACATAAAGGATTAAATCTCTGTATAATAGGCAAGCACCATACTGGACTATGCACACACTGTGATGAACTGTAAACTATCAAACATGCATTGATTAAAAAAAAGCTGAATATCAGTACTAAATGATGGAAAACATTGTTTTCCTGCCAAACCACTGCTTCACACTCCAGTCCAGTAGGTGGTGGTAGTGCACCTATAAGCTGGTTTGCCAACTGCCATTAAAACTAAGAAAAGAAGCAGCAGTACTAGTGGTGATGGTGGATGTTGGTGTGTAACTTAAGACAAGAAACAGCTGGATAGATATTGTAGTGGTTATTCTAAACTCTAAAATATTGTCAGTAGCAACTTTTGGACTAAGTTCCAAACCTAAATCACACAAACTTTAATTTGAAAGTGCTTTGGCCAAACATTAAGCTTCAGAGGGAAACTTGTTCACACAGGTGACTTCAATCTACCTAAAACAACACCCGGCAGTCAGTATCTTGCAAGATTTCCTGCTTATCGCAGCCATGGTGAGGTTGGCTGATAAATAAGTGTGGCTGGGATCTTGATTGCTTCATTTCCAATCAGTTTTATCAGTCTCTCCAAAAGTTAACTTTGAGCCTCTGACTTTTTCTCTGTTGTTTTTTCTTTTGTTCCTTCTTCATTTATGAACTTAGCCAGAGGGCTGTTAATAAAACAAGTCAGTTAGTTTGTGGCAGAGAAAAAAAGCTTTAAAACTTTTCAAGATTAGATGAAACCTATAGAAACCCTTCAGGGAAATGGGGTAAGCTGAAGAAAATGGATCGCTGCAGAGAGAAAAGAAAACAATATAGATAAAGCGGGCACAAATGGAATCTACCGAAGATAAAACACATAATTAGAATAAAACAATGGATTGAAAATAGGGTTTTTATGTGGAAAATCTCAAACAATCTCTACATATTATCATCCTGATCATATTGCTGATGCAAATTATTGCTATAAACAATGCTCTAATTCAAGTTAAAACCCATACAAATTGTAATAATAACAAAAAGACTGCATGAATAAAATGTGTGGATTTCTAAGGCAGGAAAAGCATCCACTCTAAACCCTACAGTGTGGTATTTTCAGCAGATGTCACTGTTTACTGATCTTAAGGCTTGTGCATGTGACTGGGCTACCACACTCAGAATAACCCTCCTATTGGTTCTCTGTCCATCTTTATGCATGGCTTCCTTTCATCTTCTGCAGGAAAAAGAAAAAAGGAAAAAAACAAGAGCTGCAGATAAACTATGTGAGGCCAGATAACATTCATTTGCAGATGAGCTGCAGGATCAGAAAATGGACGGCAGGGGAAATATTGCGCTCAACCTTTTGTATTATTTCATTACTCTGCAAAAATATAAACCGATGCGAGTCGGGCCACTTTGATCTCTTATTTTCGAATAAGAAAGGAAAAGCCAGATTTAGAATTCTCAACTACGGGAGGGTGAAGAAGACAGAAATCACACACTTCAAATAAAAATGGTTTGTGTTTGGAGAGACTGTAAACACAACAAACCCTTAGAGATACAGTCACATTTACACTTGTGTGTGTTCCTACATGTCCATACACATCGATGCACACTCATATCTCCGCGCGCACACACAGCAGTTCTTTAAAGCACCACAGAGCCTCCCTCAGGTGCTTTTATTTCCAGAGATATTTTGTCAGTGAAGACTGAAGCTGTTTGACAGTCTAGTACAACTTGGAGAGCGCGAGGTGAAGTCAGTATATCATTATGTTCATGGCCTCTTCTCATATCAAATCATCCCTAAACATGTAAAAACGTGTACATAATTATTAGCTCGGTTGAATATGGTGAGACCTAATTTCATGTAGAAGGCTGATCATTGCAGTGAGCGCTAAAGGAGATTTTTCTCTGTGTATGTGTGTGTGTTAGCATCATACACCAAAGCAAATACTCAACCTGGACCTGGAATTTGGTGTTTATATTCTAATTTAATCCACAAGTTTTTTGTTTTTAAGCATTATTACTTACAGCCGCCTAATGAGGCGCACACAGTGGCGTTCTCAGGCTGTTTGAGGGGGACAGGGGTCCCGCCTTATTTTATGGCATTTGTGGTGAAACCACTTAGACAGTTAGGTTTAGCACCTTAGAGGGCACTTTATCCTTTTAATCATGTTCTCTCCCTGGAAAGGCACCCTGGCGGGCACTTTATTCATGCTTTATCTATCCATAAGGGGAACCCCTCCCTCTGAGTGTCTTCCCACCAAATAAAGCCTCTAACACTCCTGCGCTAAACACCCCCGCTGTAACAACCAAAAGTTATGTTTTGCATTCAGTTTCTCTCACCAAAATGCATCTTGGTGAATCCTTGAAAGGTCTAAGAAATGTGTCAATGCATTTCCTTTCTGCATAAAATATTTGTAAAGATGAAGATTTTTAAAATAAAGCATTGTTTGCAACATTTTAACTAGCTTGGTGCTTCTTTCCGCTGCTGTCAGTCATATCTTGGTGTGTTACGCCAACCTGTAGAGGGCAGGATTGTTGTATTCTTGTTTTATCGCGTGCACATGCGTTCCTTGTGCGTGGTGTGTGTGCACGAGAGAAATCAAAAACAAAGGAACCAATTATGGACAAAATGTTCAAAACACTATTAGGGGTCTAACTCCACAGGAGAACCTTTTCTATGCAGTGTGTGTGATTGAATCATCTGAACAG